AAACTATATTAATTCCTGTGTTGTTTCATCCAAAGCTATAAAAGTGGGTTGTTATGTACTACCGCAATATTTCACCCAAACATATTGTTTTTTTATGTAATTTTCCATGTAGCATAGTAAATTTCATTATTTTTTGCAATTAAATTTAAACAAAATTCATCTTGAAACATGATCTTAAACAAAATAATCACTACAACAAAAAGAAGCTACGGCAACGTTTTTTTGCTTTTCGCGGCGTTTTAAAAACGCCGCTAAAGAACGAATTTCCTGTAGTGAATAGTTTCAAGTGCACAAAATTCAATTATATAATCAGATATTAATTTCACATGGGATGGGATTCAATAATTGTATTATGTCCTATCCATGTGAAAGTATTAGTGTCCAATTTTATGATTACATTATGTATAAATAAAACTAAGTGATTCCATGTCAACCCACCCTGAATATCTTTTTGTTGGTAAGTAAATATTTTTTAAAAAATGATGAAATAATTGTTTAGAAGTGAATTATTAATTGCTTTTTTTTTTCTTTTTTTTTCCCCGTCTTAAGTTATTTTTTAGTTTCTATCAAAATCTTTCAATTTTTTAGTCTAAAATGCAACTAACAATAAAATAAAAAAACAAAATTAACTTTCTACCAGATTTTTTCATCTTTTACTTTCCATCAAATTATAATTTTTATTTCTATGTGTTTTTAGTCTAAATGAAGCTAAACTAAAAATAAAAAGTGAATTTTTAGCTCTTTATTTTTTATTTTTTGGATTTGTTTTTTACTTTTGTACATTCAAAATTTTGAAAAATTTTAGACTAAAAAATTCTGAGTAAAAAAAAAAAAAAATTGTACTAATTTTTATTTTTATATATATATAAAAAAAAAGACTCCGCCGGGGTTGTTAACAACTCCGCCGGTCCTAAGCCCGGGTTAAGGAGGAGGGTTGTGTGTTAGGTAGCCGACAGCCAACACGTAAAAAAGCCGCTCGGATCCCTTATGAAAATGAATCCTACTTTGAATCGTTTAATGCTAGGTCGTTCCCCTCAAGTGACGCGTTGCGCCTGCCTCCGGGTGTTTCGAAAAGTGAGTAAGGGTCGCCGCATCGACGCCTGGGTGCGGTGAAAAATGGACAAAGGTTTCCGCATTTTTCTGGACGAGCGTGGGTAAAGAAGCTACTCCAAGACTATAGGTTTAGGATAGTCACATGGAACATAGGAACCTTAACTGGTAGGATGATGGAATTGGTAGATGTCATGATTAGGAGGAGAGTTAGTATAGCTTGCATACAAGAAACTAAGAGGACGGGCGAGAAAACTAGGGAAATTGAGGATATTGGTTTTAAACTTTATTATAGTGGTAAGGATAGACGCAGGAATGGGGTAGGAATCATAATTGCCAAGGGTCTTGTGGAAAGTGTAGTGGCGGTCACTAGGAAAGGAGGTAGGATTATGCTAAATAAACTAGTTATTTGAGGGAATATAGTGAACATTATTAGCGCTTACGCCCCTCAAGTAGGGTTAGATGATTAGACTAAGAGGGATTTTTGGGAGCAAATAGATGAGATCTTACAGGAGATACCCGTAGGAGAGAACCTAGTTATAGGTGGAGATTTTAATGGCCATGTGGGCATAGATAAACTAGGTTATGAAAGGGTGCATGGTAGATACGGTTTTGGTGACAGAAATGAGGCTGGAAAGAGAATCTTAGATTTTGCGTTGGCTTCTGACCTGGTGGTGGCCAATACTATGTATAAGAAGAGGGAGGAGCATTTGATAACCTTTAAGAGTGGATTAGTTAAGAGCCAAATAGATTATTTCTTAGTGAGAAAAGTGGACTGCCTAAAATGCAATGATTGTAAGGTGATTCCTGGAGAGAGTCTGGTCTCTCAACATAGGATTTTGGTACTAGATTTATGTTTTAGAGGGAAATACCAAGCTAGGAAGGATGGTGGGCGTCGTAGGACGAGATGGTGTGACCTAAAAGGGGATAAACTAGAAATATTTAAGAATCGAATGGATAAGGAAGGTACTTGGGACTTAGAAGGTGATGCTAACACTATGTGGAATTCGATGGCCAATTGTATGAGGAGAATCTCAAGGGAAGTGCTTAGAGAGTCAAAAGGAACGGGACCCAGCTCTAGGGAAACTTGGTGGTGGAGGAAAGAGGTTCAAGCAGTAGTTAAGGCAAAAAAAAAGAGTGCTTTAAAAAGTGGCAGAAGGATTGAACTGAGGAAAACCTTAAGAGTTATAGATTGGCTAATAAGGAGGTCAAGAAAGTAGTGAGAGAGTTGAAAGTTTATGATGACCTATACACTAGACTAGATAGTAAGGAGGGAGAGAAGAGAGTATACAAACTTGCTAAGATACGGGAGAGGAAAACAAGAGATTTTAATCAAGTAAAGTGCATCAAGAGTGAGGATTCTAAGGTATTGGTGAAGGATGATGAGATTAAGGAAAGATGGAAGAATTATTTTGAGAAACTGTTAAATGAGGAACATGGAAGTACGACAATAGGGGAAGAAATAACCAGTAATACGAAAAACCAAGACTATAGGTTCTATCACTGGATTAAGAACTTTGAAGTGGAGATTGCACTTAAGAAGATGAAATCAAATAAGGCTTTAGGACCTGATGATATCCCTTTTGAAGCTTGGAAGTGTTTGAGTAAAAAGGGAGTTGCTTGGTTGACTAGGTTGTTTAGCAAAATTTTGTTAACTAGGAACATGCCAGATGAGTGGAGGAAGAGTATTTTAGTGACAATCTATAAGAATAAAGGTGATGTCTAGAATTGTAACAACTATAGAGGAATCAAGCTAATGTGTCATATAATGAAAGTATGGGAGAGGGTGATGGAACGCTGATTGCGAGACATAACAGAGGTGTCAGAGAATCAATTTGGGTTTATGCCTGGTAGGTCAACAATGGAAGTGATCTATTTTTTGAGGAGAGTAATAGAAAAGTATAAAGAAAAGAAAAGAGACATTCATATGGTGTTTATCGACCTTGAAAAAGCATATGACAGAGTGCCCCGAGATATAATATGGTGGGTGTTAGAGAAGAAAGGGGTGACAAAAGGCTACATTAACGTGATTAGGGACATGTATGAAGGGGTGATGACCACTATTAGATCGCCAGCTGGAGAGACAAATGAATTTCCTATCACTGTAGGGTTACACCAAGGATCTACCTTAAGTCCTTATCTTTTTACTTTAGTTATGGACGAGTTGATGATAAATATTCAGGATGACGTGCCATAGTGTATGCTTTTTGCAGACGATATTGTGTTAGTGGATGAGACTAGAGAAGGAGTTAACACAAAGTTGGAGATTTGGAGAAAAGCTCTTGAATCTAAAGCATTTCGGATAAGCAGAACTAAGACAGAGTACATGGAGTGTAAATTTAGTAACAGTAACAATGAAAGCAGAGAAGAAGTGAAGATTGAGAACCAAGAACTGCCTAAGAGTGAACATTTTCGTTATTTAGGGTCGATTATCACAACAGCAGGAGAGATTGATGCAGATGTGGCCCATAGGATTAAGGCGGGATGGTGTAAGTGGAGAAGTGCGTCTGGGGTATTGTGCAATAAACGAATACCCACTAGACTAAAAGGTAAGTTTTATAGAACGGCTATTAGACCAGCTATGTTGTATGGGACGGAGTGTTGGGCAACCAAGAAATAATATGTAGATAAGATGAGTGTGGCTTAGATGGGGATGCTAAGGTGGATGTGTGGTAAGGCTAGACAGGACAGGATTAGAAATGAGTGTATTCGGGAATGGGTAGGAGTAGCACCGATAGAAGATAAGTTGAGAGAGAATCGTTTGAGATGGTTTGGTCATATTCAACGGAGACCAACTGAGGTAGTAGGGAAGAGATGCGATGCTGTAACGGTAGATGGAAGTGTTAGGGGACGGGGTAGGCCTAGATTAACGTTGACTAGCGTTATAAATAGAGATGTGAATCTGCTTAATTTGACTAATGAAATGGCTTTTGATAGGGCCGCGCGGAGAAGAAGGATTCATGTAGCCGACCCCATTTTATGGGACTTAAGGTTTGGTTTGGTATATATAAAAAAAGAACAAGATTATGTTAAAAAAGTTATTATCACTACAAGGAAAAAGGGATATGGTGACTTTTTAACGACGTTTTTTGAAACGTCACTATTATTAATATTTAACGGGCGTTTATAAAACGCCGCATATTCTTTTAAACAAAACGACACCGTTTTATAATAGGAGACGTTTAGAAACGCCTCGAAATACGGGAGCCACACGCGCTCTTTTTGAAACCCTTATTTTGAATCTGAGCCCGTTCTCTCTCTCAACCCTCTCTAAGCTCCATTGAAGATTCAGATCGAAGCTCCATTTCTGAATATGAGCCCTTTCTCTCTCTCAACCCTTATACGCACACTTCTCCATCGAAGATTCAGATCGAAGCTCCATCGAAGCGATTTCGAAGCTCCATCGCCAGCACCATCTACATTGGCGAGGTAGCGAGCTCCACTCTCTCTCTCTAGATCTATGAAATCAATGTTTTAAGACATTCTTACTTGATCCTCATTTGCAGAGATTTAGTGATTTTCAAAAGCTCAGATCTGAACTCTGACCCCTCGATTACTCGTATTCCAAGCTCCAATGGCGGCAATAGTCTACTTTGTTTCTAAACTTTCATCGGTACTCTCTCTCTCTCTCTCTCTCTCTCTCTCTCTCTCTCTCTCTATTTGTGGTCTTATTGGCCAAGGCATTGCAAATCAACATGTCAACTCAAGAGTTCCAGAAACATTTCACATCCTTTCTACAAACTGATAGCTTAAAATAATATTGACTAAATAAAATAATAGGAAGGCTTTTAGCATCCTAGCGACAGTTAATCTTGAAATTATTAATTCTCTCTCTCTCCGCCTCTTTGTGTGTTTCTCTCTGTATTGGTTTCATTAGATCAGCCACAAATTTGAAGCGTTATTTACAGATTTCAATTTACAGGTAATTTAGATTCCATCACTTTTGGCATTGTTCGCACAATCATCTCTGTTTGTTTGCTGAGAAAAATAGAGGAATGAAAAGTAAAATACATTTGGAATCTTATATATTGGAAAATATAAAGAAAAAAGGCAAACGGTTAAAATTTTAAGATGTAAACCTCCTATTTCCTTTTGTTTTCTTAGGAACCAAACATAGTATTGAATTCTGGTTTTGTTTGATTTCTTGAATGAATGATTCTATTAAAATTTTATCTTATTTCATTTTATTTATTTTTTGTATTACAACATTTCTAATGGCTCAGATCATGTTCTATCTAGCTTTCTTCAATGCTTGATTCATTTTCTGGTTCTGGTACTGATGAGATAATTGTAAGATGAATGATCCTGAATTTTCAAATAAGTGATTTGTTTGATTTATCTCACAATTTTCTTGGAATTCTACCCATATGGGCGATACCATGTCTAAATGAATTATTAGTTCAAAACCCAATACTGTCTAAATGAATTTACAGCCTCTGATACAAGCACCCATGGTGGCTTCTATGTTCCTCGTCGCGCTGCCGAAGACTGTTTCCCACCTCTGTGAGGTTTTCGCTATGTGTGATTTTTGTAGGTAGGTTTGTTTGGACCTCGCGGTTGAGTTTCTGATACACTTGGTGGTATGGTTTGTCTCAGTTGTAGGACTATAAACAACGAAGACCCTCTCAGGAGCTTGTTGCCAGGGACCTTCATGGAGTGGAATGGAAATTTTGACCTATTTATTGAGGTAATTTGATGGACCTCTGGAGGCTGTATTTGGATCTTGGACTTGCGGAGTAATTTGAATGCCAATTTTCAACCAAGATCTAAATGCAGCCGGACTGTGGTTTGGTTGAAGAGGAAACTCATAAGATTGAATGCCAATTTTCAAGTCAGCCATGGCGACACCTTCTCACTACAGGATGGAGCATCTTTGTGAGTCAAAAGAATCTTGTTTCAGGTGATGCAGTTCTTTTGTTGAGGTACATAGGTTTTTCTGGAATGCTTAAGGTTCTTAAAACCATAAGAACAATTTTCAAATTTTTTGGCAAATTGGGAAAATAATAAAACATTATTGAATTGAGTGCTAAAAGAGGACGAAAATGTTCCATTTCCGTTTTGGTATTAAAATGCTCCAAAATGATTCTCTCATCTAGTAATATGAAGCTCTTTAATTTATGTGTAATGGTCTTTGTAGAGATGAAGGTGGAGAGATGAGGTTCGGTATTAGACGAGCTGTTCAACCAAGAAATGGTCTTCCTGATTTAGTTCTCGGTAACCAAATTTATCGAAGCGTTCTTTCTCCCGTGGGCAATGTTGTATCCACCAAGAGCACATTTCATGTTTTCTACTACCCAAGGTATCGCCAACCATAATTTCTTCATCAAAAGGATATCGGTGCATACTAGAACTAAAACTTAGAAAGCTTATGATATATCTTATCTTTAATACATATTAGTGGTAAACTTGCATCCAACCCAAATGGCTGGCATAGAGCTTTATCAGTAACTGGTTGCAGCACACTTCATGTGAAAATTTGTGGGAAACATTGTGTAAGAGGGTTGTTGCATGTGCGATTATAATAGTTGTCAAAAAAGGTTTTAATAAAAAAAAAAAAAAAAAAAAGGAAAGGAAAGTAAGAAAGAAAGATTATGTTTTGTCAATATGCATTTCATTTGGATGTAATGCTGGTCAAATAAACTTTCGAGCTTTAAAGAAATAAAATTGAAATAGGAAAAGGAAGATTGCATTTGCATTTTATTTCAGTTAATTTGTTAAAGACAGAGGCTATGGCTGCACTAGTGCTAAAATGCTGGTATCAAGTTTATAACATATAATTTGGAACAAATGGGCCTTGATGACAGAGTACTCCAATTTATTTTAGGTATGGCTTTAATTAATGTATCATTTGGGACATAATTCTTGGTTATGTTTTCGTCCTGTTTGAAGGTTTTATAAGGTCTGAAAGTGAAACGAAGTAATAGTATCAATGGAAATAAATTTTTTGTGAAAGCTATTGAGGATATAAATCATCATGAGAAAACAAGAGATGAAAGGAAATTAAAGAATGTCAGGAAGCTAGTTGTAGAAACAAATTGATGAAATTAATAACAAATTATGGAAATAGATGATTCTGATTCAATTTTGTGTCTATCCTCTTTAATTCTCTCGACTCTTTGTATACATATTTAAGGTATTGGTTGTAATGCAAGGTGTTATCAATGCAATTTGTTTTTCTGTTATCTTGCTAGAATGGCTAATGAATTGTTGCTTCTTCTGAGGTTCTTCTATATTCTATGCTCAGCTGGAGATGACATTGCACATTGCTCACTGGACCATGATTTTCATAGGTTTTTTCTATCACCTGTTATTCTCTCCTTACAACCTTTTTATTATTATTATTTTTAAAGATCCTAAAACTTGTATCAGCCAACTTTAAACTCGGGAATTTCTTCCTTTCAAACCTCCATAGCTCTGTAAGAATAAATCAAGTTGTTGCAACTGCCACTATAAACACCATCACTACTATCCTCTTGGGAAGTCGTTATCTCTAGCAGGGTTAGGTTGAATTTTGGCCCATTGGGAGCAGGACTTTGTCCTATTAGTGTTTCTCTCCCTCTCTCTCTCTCTCTCTCTCTCTCTCTCTCTCACACACACACACACACACACACACACACACTCACTACACACACACACACACACACACACACATTCAGTAGTGGCCATCAATAATTAGAAACTGACCAATAGGCATGGCAACTTTTTCCCTTTTTAATTTCTCCTTTTTTGGGTAAGGCTTTTTGATTTCTCTATTTCTTCCAACGGGGGAAACGGCCACCAAAATGAATTATTTGTTTGAGTATTGAATTTATGTTATTCTCTCACTATGTCTGCCTTGAATTTATTCACTATGTCTGCTTGATGATCCTTCATTGCGACAATTGAGTACTAAAATGGTTACAGAGGATAGGGTAGGGAGAAAGAGAGTGTAGGGTAGGTGTAAGGAGGAGATGAGAAGTTCAGGATGGGATTAAGGTTGGAATAGGGGTGTATTGCAATAAAGTATAAAATTTTAAATTGTTTTAAAAAGTAGATGCTCAGCTCCTCCCTCACTAGGATTGCAAAACAAACCAAGACATTTTGAGCTTGATGCCTAGGTTTAGTATATTTTAATTTTTGTTATGTATTCATAGTAAATTTAAACAATTTAGTATTCAACTCAGTAAATATATGTATGTATTGTAAAAGAAAATTAATTTACTTGTGTTTGACTTGTAAAAGCTCATTTAAGATTGATTTATGTAAATATGCATATGCTTGAACATGTTTTGAAATTTGTTAAGTTTTTAAGTTAAAACAACTTATAACTTAGCCAGCTCATTTTTGAGTTTGAGTTTATTTGTTTCACAATATGTAGTTATCATTGAATCTTCTTATGGCTTGGATTTGACATTATCTTTCATTCTTAGGTTGTTTTTGACATTGGCATCGACTTTGTTCCACTACAAGCAAAGAATGCAGGTTGTTTTTCACTTTTTCTACTGCTGGGACATTTGCTACTATTTTGGGAACAGTCGGAGCTGATTTTTTTGTTGAATTAGTGGGGTTCATTCTAGGGATTTTTATATTTTTTTGCTGCTCTATTCTGGAACTTATATTCTACATGTGAGAGAGTCAATTTGTGTTTTAAGACAATTCTAATTGGCTTCTATATTAGATTGTTGTTGGATGGTGTGAAACTGTGCATGAGATGGCTGCTTGGTTTTTTGGAATTGAATTTGTTGGATTTTTTTTTATGAAGGATGTTGTATTAAGTGCTATTATAGATGTGAGGGAACTGTAATTAAAGAAATATTTGTCTATACAAAGTTTTATTCATTATTCCTATTTTAAACAGGTATTTTTTTAAAAGTTAATCTCACAGAATTTGTAGTTTAAAAAAAAAAAAAATGAATCTATTGAGGCGTTTTTCAAACGCCGCTATAGTTATATTTTAAAGTAACAAAAAAGCTATTACGACGTTTTTGAAGCGTCGTTGAATACCCGTGTGACATCATTTACATATTTAGCGTCATTTTAATGCCGCCTATACTAATGTCACGACGTTTTTAAAGTGCCATAAACCTATAGCGACGGCCACGTTGTCGGCGTTTGGTGGTAAGCGTCACAAAATGAATTAGTGGCGTTTTTCAGACATATAGCGGCGTTTTTAAAACGCCTCTAAAATTCTTTTTTCCAGCAGTGTATTCTACAGCATTACTAAACCAATTTATTCATACTTCATTGAAAGTAATAGGTTGAATTCCACTACGTCAATCAATGTTGTAATTTATATCACAAAAGTGACTTTGTATTATTTTCTCAAAAAAAAAAAAAATCCAAACAAGAATGTTCACTATAATGGTTCCAGTTTAGACTTGACCCATTTCATACTTTTAGATCCGGAATTTTGTGTCTTTAATTGTTGTTCATGCCATTTTATCATCTTGTTGATAGTTGAGTTGTTGATCGTGTTTCAAACAAGTTGGGAGTTAGTTTTTCAAAAGAGTTGTTGTATGTTTCACTTCTGGTTCGCTCGAGTGATGATTTGGTCGCTCGAGTGGTCTTTGAGATATCTCAGCACTTTTGCAGGTCTGTAAAACTTCTGAGAATGAGTGATCTTCATTCGAGCGGCCTTTTCTTCGCTCGAGCAGTCTTTTGCAGGTTTGAACTTCTAGGAGGGGGTCATTGTGCGCTGGAGCGATGTTTTAGTCACTCGAGCGGTGTCACTTATTGTGTTCGACGCTCGAGCGATTGTTTGTTCGCTTGAGCGATCTATGCATATATCAGTTCGGGAAAAAATAGTTTTTCTCACTCTTTCACTTTCTTTCTCTTTCTCTCTCTAAAACACCTCTAACCCTAATTTCTTTCCATTCTCTCTCTAGTTCTTGCTTAAAACCTCAAATATACCGTCACCCATTAATTTCTCAACCATAGTTCCTTGGAGAAAAAGGTAGAGTTCGTCAAAAGTTTCGTTTTAATCAGAGTGGATCTCGTTTTCAATCTTATCAAACGTCCACTCTTGCACTCTTCACCTTATACTCTTAAGGTAGGGATTTCTTTAGTCTTTAGAATGATTTTTAGTTTAGTTATCTACTTTTTAAAAATGTTTAGTGATTTGGGGATTTTAGATTAAATCTAGGTTTTGATTTTAAAATGTAAAAGAGGGATTTTTCAAATAAATTCTTGAGAAAGGTTATGGAAGTATGTATATTGTTGGGTTGTGTTAGAAACTCCTTCCTTAAATGTGATTTTGAAAATAAAGGAGGTTTTATTTGAAAAATCATTGATGTTGATTTAAGAAAAAAAAGGAAATGATGTTGGGTTTTGAAAAGATATAGAAAATGTATCTGTTGAAGATGAGAGTGGAATTAGATATTTATTATCGCTCCCATTTTGCAATTTACAAGATTTTATTTGTTGTTGAAAAATTATCTACTGAGTAGAAATATCTATTTTGGGCTATCTGTGGAGGATAGTTTTAATTGTTGTAGAAATTACATGAGGATTAAGTTAAATTCAAACTAATTACTCATACATCTTGCATCGAGCATTGTTTTACACTTGAATATTTCAAATGTATTGTTTTTTGGGAAAAAAGGGTGTATATATTGGTGAATCTAGTTAGAGGGTATGGTTGTGGTTTATATTGTTGGCTTGTGTGTCCATGATGAAAGTCCAGGAATCCGCGCGGTTAAGTGCCGACCCTTCCAATTAGTACCGGTAAAATGGCTTTGATAGTGCTTGCATAGCCTATTCGCAGACAAGTACCTAAAGATTCTCAATGTTTTGTATCCACTGCCCTATTTTTTGATATAAAAGTGTATTTTTCATGAATTAAAATATATTGATATTGCCAATTCATTGCTTTGAGATGGAAAAGTATAATGTTTTGGCAAATGACATGCATATGCATCTACCTTATGACTTCGTTAAGATTCATACATAGTGTTAAAGTATCTCTATTTGGCTTTACCTCACCCTATATAGAAAACGACCTTTTAGGTGTTGATAATATGCCTCCACCAAGGACTTAACTTGGAAGGATCATGGAGCTGAAGGCTCATTTTCGTTTCTTTTGTTGTAATTATATTTTGTACAAACCTTGGGCTTTTTAATTGTTTTGGACTTGATCCATCTTATTGTAACCAAGCAATGTCTTAGAAAGATGTAGCCATCAGGGCATAAACTCATATGTATTACCTTGTATTTCAGTTCACTCATATATGGCATATGCTATAGATTCAAGATTTAAGATTTATGAATGTAAACTCGCATATGTTATCTTTTGTACAGTAAAGGAATATAAATGAAAGGTTAATGTTTCGCATGCCTATGTTCTCTATTGGATATCATGAGATGGGTTGTCGTTATTATTTTGGGGCATTATAACTTGGTATCAGAGCTAATGAGAGTTTGAATATTTTGGGATCGTGAGACATGATTTTTACCACAATGGGTTTATCTTCCTAGATAATGTTAGAAGTAGACCTGGTATGCTATGTGATAACATGTTTATATGACAAGATGAGTATGGGATTTGGTTTCTAAGATATTGATTGGATCTACGAGTTTCTAGAAGTCCCATTAGAAGAGCACTTGATCACTGCTTATTCTAACTGGAACTCTTGCAATGTTGTGGAACAATTAATTATTTGGGAAGGAAATTTATTTGTGATTACGTGACTTGGTGCTTATGTGAAATGAATTAATTGTTGTCCACTATATTAGGACATAAATGAGTTAGCTTCGGCACATTTATAAATGTGCTAAATTATTGTGTAACCTTTACTAGAATGTCAGGACGAGGACATGGTGGTGGTAGGTGTGGTAGGCCTAGGCAATAGGAGGTGCCAATACTGGATGAAATTCTGGCACAAGAGAAGAAAGTAGACTAGGCCAACGTGACCGAGCCAGCAGGTCAGCAAGCTATGAGCGCCTTAGCCTGTGAAATGGCAGGAGCTTTGCAGGAATCCATGGACATTCTTAAGGTTGAGAATCAAGTCTATGCCCATGTTGCAAAAATAGAGCCATCATTTCTAAAGAGGGAGTTCTTCTAGTCGAATCTAGATAAGTTTTTAGGGGATTCGAAAGAGCCACTGAAGGTTGACTAGTGGCTCGAGTAGATGATGAAGACGTTCAATATGCTTGGCATTGAGGATGATGGTTTGAGGGTGACCTTGACATCTTTCCAAATAAAAGAAGATGTGGGTTAGTGGTAGAAGTATGTGTGAGGGCGAATTGGGGTGACTTGGAAGGCCTTTGTCAATGCTTAAGTTTTTTCCACCCATTGCCAAGAAGAAGTTGAGAGACCAGTTTATGAAGCTTAAGTAGCTACATACGTCGGTAGCCGAGTTTGAAATTGTTTTCACTAGTTTATCGACTTTTGTACCGAAACTTGTGGCAATGAAAAAACGCCATTACTTCGAGTTTGAGAGGAGGTTGAGGACCAGACTCCTTTTTAAGGTGGTCGGGTCAATGATTAGGGATTACAACCATCTTATGGAGTCGACGGCCCACTTAGAGATTGTGATTCAAGCAGAGGAAGAGTGGATAAGGGGTTCCAGGAAGAGGAGTCATGATTTTTAGGGGGACACTGAGGACAACAAACAGCAAAGGGGTTCCACCCTACAACAGTCCCAGGCTACACAGTTTAGATCCGCATTTCCTGTGCCGAGTTCAAGTTTGGGAGAGGTAACTATGGTGTGAAGCTTCAAATGTAGTTTGTTAAGCCATAAGTCTTCACTTTACCTGCAGAGGGGAGGAAGGCAACAGTCTGTACCGCCTTTAGCTCATCCTCAGAGCCAGAGTCAAAGGAGGGGTCAGCTGCCTATCTGTTATTAGTATAGGCAGTCGAGGCACTTGAGGAGGTTTTGTTTCACGCCCCAAAATTTGGACAGTTAAATATTAAATTAGGACTAAATCCCAACCAATATTCCATCATCTAAATCCATAGGGTGAAACAAAATCTAAATGTTTTCACCTCAATCTGGTTTAAGTAAATTTCAATGCTCAAAAAAAATTACAAGAGATAAAAAAAAATAAAAAAAATAAAAATTAACAAAATGTTAACCAAATCATCCATCATAAATTCATAACTATCAAATACCTTCAACATTAAAGTAGCAACAAATAGTCAAAATAACTTAAACAATGTAAAGTTAGAAAATAACCCACAATTCCAAATTATCAAAACACTAAGGTCATAAATAAATAAATAAACTAATATCAATCCTAATCTCAAGAAAGCAAAAGAAGTCCGAGAGACATGTCCTATAACCATAGTTATTTCTTATCACCACTGTAGTCTCAACTAATCTTGCAAAGGAAGCTTGTCTACGCTCAAACAGAATGCACCCGAGATGCGAAGAGACAAAACGGGTCAGTATACAAGTATATTGGCATGAGTACAAGATTTGACACCCACGTGTCCACTAGATACAAACAGAAGTACATTTAATTCTTATTACGGGACAAGACAACTAGCTCCATCCATACCGAGACGAGGGGTAGTTTCCCGAGATACAATGATATTTAGTTTCTTGCTCATACACAAGTAAATACAAATTGAGTATATAAAATAAATAAATAAAATATAGTGGGTCAGCCTTGCATAAAAAATTAGTAAGACCCATCATTCTGCAAAAAAAGTTAAGTTAGTATAATTTAATCATAAGTAAATTACTAAAGAGGTATAAAAACGCACTGTTCTATGCTTAAATCATTCAAATTGACCAAAACTCATAAAACAAAAGTTGTACATAATGAAATTTCCTAAAAGGTAGCATAGAAGAATATAGTAGAAACTAAACAAGTTGAGAGAAAAACTTGATAGAAAAA